GCCTTAAATTAAATTTTGATGGAAACGCACTAGGCAACCCAAAGCCTTCTAGCTTTAAGGGAACTATGGGGAATTGTTATTTTGCTATGCCGGACCTTGTGGAGTGGGGACTACGAATGAAGCGGAACTAGAGGGTCTTGGGAGAGGAGTACAACTGGTGGTTCAAAAGAATACATAAATACCGTATATTTTTTTTAAGTGATTCTCTTAATGTCATAAATGGGTACAATAAGGTATGAAGACCACTTTACGAGTCCGAAGAAAATGGATAAATATCATACATGTATATGCAGCTTTAGAAATCTTTTCAGGGTGTATACAAGGAATCGAATGACATTGCGGATGATTTTGCAAAACAAACAATCTTTTCAATGTGTGTATAAGGAATCGAATGACATTGCGGATGATTTGGCAAAAACAAAGAGCTCTTATGCGTTCCATTGTGATTTCTCGTGTAATCATCTCTTGACATGCAGTATTTTATTAATAAATTTAAGTAATTTTATTAAAAAAAATTATATATATTATTAATAAATAAATAAGGAAAAAAAAGAAAGACGAGAGGTTAGCGCGTAGAGAGAAGAGGTAGAGAGCCTTTGTCTTCAACTCAAAACGGCCTCATTAGCTGTCCTTGATTTCCCGAGGCCTGTGGGCACCACCTACTACAACCACGTGTCAACACTCCATAGGGTTTACACGCGGCAACTCCAATTAACGGCGACGCTGACGGTCTCCGTCTGGCGTGTCCCCCTCCACCCCGGCTGCCGTCTGTCCACGCGACAAACGCCGTCACCCAGCCCCTAGCCTAAGCATTTCGACACGTGTCAGAATCGTGATACGTCGATCGTTCGCTTGACGACACGTGGAGGATTCACATCGCTTGTCAGCATCGTAGGTTAACATAGTTAACCAATGGTTAACATGTGTGGTTAAGGCCCCAATTGAATATGAGAATTATAAAACCCTAGGCTATTGAAGACTGAAGTGGGAAGGGTGCGCAGGTTCTGCCCAAAAGTACGGTTGTGTCCCTGGTCTCTTTTAGCCATTACGAGGTTAACCTTTACACGGTACCTATAAACATCATGATACCCCTAACTTCTTAAGATATGGCAATTTTGAATTTATGATCTTATTAGCCCTAAACCATTTTGCCTTTAAAGAGTGTCGAAAAGATGTTTGAAAAATGAAACTCTTTGTAACGGCTTGAAAATTTACTTTTATATGTAATTATAAAATTTAAAGCTTAAAAAATAATGTAGATCGAACATATCTATTAACATAAACGGTCTAAAAAATGCATGATAAAATGCACTATTTCCAAGATTTGAAATTAATTTTTTCTTATGTTCGCACATCTTAGGTTGAGATGATTGATTTGAGGATTTGTGGACATTGAAATAACCTCCTTTAGTGAATTTTTAAGATGTACCATAATTTGATGGTTTAGAGCATCACTCTTATATAAATTTTTTGCTTTATGTTATGCAAATGTCAATTTACTTTTTTTTTTATATATACGATACGGTAAGTAATTTCATCGAGTAAATGAAAAGATACAATGAAACATAGAAAGAAAAACAAAGAAGAGAAAAATGCATTTACAACAAGGCTCCTTCTTTTGCAAGTCAATCGGCCTCCATATGACTTTCGTGGAAGATGTGGTTCCACGAACGTGGTTGAAGACCACCTCCCTGCCATGCAAACCCAAGACTATGGTGTCCGTGGTGGACGTCAGGGCTCAAGGCATCGAGTTTGGACATTTGCACAAGGAGATAGCATTGGTTGAGTCCCCCTCGACAATGATTCTCTGGTTGCAGTTTGATGACCCGTTCTTTAAGAGCTCTCAACTCAATCTCCTTGATATCGCAGTTATGGGACGTACCTGATATTGCCAAAGAACCACACCGTCATGCTAATGCCAATTCACACGGCAATACTGTTTTGAATCTTTTGAATACTAGTGCTTTGAAGCTTGGATCAACTCGGTGAACTCGACATCCATAAATATGGTGCAATTGTCGAATTGTGGACCAGATTTGTGAATTATCGATATTGTGGTATGACAATCAATCCAGTTCCATGACAGAATTGGACGATTCCAAAAAAACCATATCAATTCTGACATGGAACTAAGTCAATTTACAACGATTTTAAATCGAAATCATGACTTCGAATCTAGGTCCAAGAAAATGGAGAAAATGAAGATGATGTCACACATAGAATTAGAGTTGGGTGGGTGAGGTGGAGATGTGCAACTTGAGTTTTATTTGATTGTTGTATACTAATGAAACTAAAAGGGAAGTTCTATAGGAAAATTATGATACCAACTTCGCTTTATAGGGCATAATGTTGGGTTGTTAATAAACAACGTACTTTAAGATGAGTGTAGCTAAGATGAGGATGTTGAGATGGATGAGTGACAAGATAAGAAGTGATAGAATTCTAAACATATACATTAAGGAGAACTTAGGTATGCCTCCAACATGCGATAGGATAAGATTAAGGTAGGTTGAGTACGTGCAATGCAGACTCAGTACAAACACCTGTTAAGAGTTGTGAATTGGTTCAAGAGTAAGGCTAAAAAAAAACAATAAGCAACCCTATAAAGAAATAATATGAAGTAGTCAAAAAATATATGAAGACTTATGTTTTTATTGAGGGTACAACCATTGATAAATTAAAACGATGGATTGAGATTTGTATAATCTAACCCCAAATAATTGCAAAAAAAGCTATGATAATAATGATGAAACTCCTCTATTTTTATACTTTAAATTCAAGTTTATAATAGTAATTTAATAAACAGAGCGACATAACAGGCATTTCTACCGTTCTATGTGCACGTCAAGCCGTGGAAGTCATGCTAGTTAATTATTGAGGATAGGACTCTACGATTTACTTGGACTAATCTTTCGTAGAATTTCCTACGTCATCCAACCAATTTGAAAATTGGGAAATAGTCCTTAGCTACCCATCATCTAAAAATATAACCATTTAACTATAGGAATCTTTCTAGTTAATAGAGTAATGTTTCTTAACTTTTAGGACACGTTTGTTTCGTATGAAAATATTTTTCAAGTATTTTTATATAAAAAGATTCTTCCATGTAGTTAAATATGTGAATTTTGTCATATCAAATGGTCCCAATACATATTTTTACACCAATTAGCAATTTATTAGTGTGATTTTCACACCTGACCACATGAACGATTTTTTTTATGTGGTAATGCAACCAAAACATGTCCTTAGCCCCAAATATAGCATACTATAGACCATTGAATTTCACATCTAACAATTAAGATGATCTTAACCTTCTTATACCAAATATAAGCAGTCTTCTTTTTCTACTTTCCAATCATGTCACTGTCCATTTCATTGTTTCATATACACAAATTGTCTACCTTTCAATGATGTCTCATATTTTTGGTTGTTCTCTTTTGAAGTGATAAGGTAGGATATGAGCCTTAGACCTTGTCCTTACCATTGCAAACTTTACTACTCCTTAACCATAATTACAACAATTACAAGAAGGGAGCATATAAACAAAATGAAGCTATGATTCGTATTATGAGAGTCTCGCTCTAGATCCAGGTAGCACATTATGAGCTTTGGGATCTTGATTCCAACTTCAAGTTTTAGCATATTCTTGCAACCAAAACTACAATTTTAAACTTTCTAGGAAAAAGGTTATGCTGATGGTCCCAATTAAAAAATAAAACCAAGAATAATAGCAATAAATAAATAAACAAACAAATACATCAATGAGCAACTTACTCGGATTTGTTATTAAATCACATAAGAAACTTAATGTTCCATATCTAATCTATAGACTGAGTCATCTAGTGATAGACAACCTTGAGAGTTTCCTTTTGATGAATCTCATTCATCTTGTATCTCTCTTTCATCATTCTCTATTTTTATCTCTTGTGCATTTCTTGAGGGATTAATCTCTTTTTATAGAGAACTTGTATCTTTTGTGACTTTCACATTAATAGTTTATTGGAGTTGAGATCTAAGCATAATTCATGTCTTACTTTTTTTAAGTACAGTTAATTAGGATTAACAAGTTGTCACCAATATGTTAATCATATGTACTGAGTTAAACTTATCATTAGTCCACTAATGACTTACATAATAGAATGTCATCCAGAAGTTCATACCATTTGATAAAAAGATATTTTAAACCTAAATATACCAAGTATATATATAAAACATAAACAAAATAATTTTCATAAGGAATCCAAACACACCACTAGGTCTTCCCTCTAATACTACATCCTATTAAAGCTAAAAAATGGATCTAAGTAAATTGAAGTTTAAATATTATAATTAGAGATGAAAATAGATTTTTTTGTCGTAAAAAATTGCATCTCATGACAAAGTTTGGAAGTGTGCTTTATTTTGATTATTTAAGGTAGCATCCTTGTGTAAACCTCATGCTTTAGTCCAAGGTGTCATGATTTGAACCGCGTCTCGTAAAATTCCTTTAATGTAGAAGAGACAAAGATGAGAGAAAATGTATAAAGAAGGGGAGAATAGAGAGAGAGAAAGAGAGAGAGAAAGGGGAGAGGGTACACGAATGGTTGGATAGATAAAGACTAAATATTCCTTTAAGATAAAAGCGATAAAGAAAATTATACAATGAGATTATTTATCTTTGGTACAAGATAGTTATAATTAATTTTGATAATTAGTTGTGAAATTAAATGATTATATTTATTTTATTGATAAAATTCAAAATACAAAAAATATTTTCTCGAACTTAATGATACACTAAAACTATTAAATTCCACATTGGATGATTATAAATAATCGTGGCTTCTTTGCACCACGGATAAATCGCTCTCATTGTGTGCAATCCCATAGCGAAAGGTGCAATTGTTGTATCCACCAAGTGAGGGACATTTTAGGAAATCAAGAAAAGAGAGGATCTTTAGGACATTTGACGTCTTGATGGGGGGTCTTTATACGGTAATTTCCCTAGATTTAGTCTGGTTTTGTCGCGGCGCGGAAGTCGGATTAGGGCTGTTGCTTTTCTTAATGGAGAATGCAGTATTTTAGTGAGAGAATGGATAGGGCTTCTAGAGATAGATTTTAGAGAGAGAGAGGTCACTGTAATTGTATATTAGGATGTGATGAAGAAGCTCACTTTCTAATTCCAGGGTTCTGTATCTTCTCTTTCCAGTGAGTTTGTCAAATTTCGCAATTTTATTTTTTATTTTGGCCTGCTTCTTTTTTGCTGCTGTGCTGAATTAGGGTTTTGATTTGTTAAGTTGTTCCCAATTATGCAAGAGAACGAATTACTTCATTTGTTGTATGATTTTTTTAGTTGATTTCTATTGACAATTTAGATGGTTTCCAAGTGAATTATGTTTTGATGTAGTCTGGTCTGGTTCTAAGAGAATTAGGTTTTTACTGTTAAATGCAAAATTAAGGTCTTAATGGTCTGAACTGTTATTGGTAAAAGTGGAAAAGGAGAACAGACGCAGTATATTAGGCGTTTTAAATGTTAAATTGAAGATGGAGTTTCGTGTGATATAAGGGTTCTCTTTGTTCTGGTTATTATCCTTTCCAGTTGGGGGTTGTTTATTTACAATTCCATCTCTGAGAAATCTATGGAGAAATCTCATCATCTTGCAATTTTCAGATTATTAGTGCTTTGATCAATTACCAAATTCAATGTCTGGACATGTAATAGCTGTGATTAGTGAACACTCTTAGTTTTCCCTGCTTTGAACGGAAATAGGCTGTTTCGGGAATTAATATTGCAAACATGTTGTGGTTTTCTTGAACAAGCTGTATGTTTTTGACATCCAGCACTTTCCTGTTTTGTTCATTTGAAAACCGTGAAACAACCTAGTTCAGTAGGAGATAGTGGTTTCCTTCTCTGATTAGTTCGAAACTCAAAATGTTTTTTTATTTCTATCCTTTTTCTTGTTGATTCACTGCCCATTTTCTTATCTAGTTGGAAGGAAATTAGTGATTTTATTGTTCTACTATGCTTTCAATACTGAATTATTTGAATTTTCTTTTTTTGATGATTATTTTTTGAAATTTCATAGTGAGTTATTTGGGAATTTGACATACCTTTAGTTGTTATTAATTTGGATGCTTTTCTGGTTCTAGTTGGGGTAGCAGAAAACAGAGACTGATGCGGGAGATATAGGTATACAGAAGGGAAATTAGGCAGCATGCAACCGGAGCCCCAACATGTGAATGGAATAGAACATGTGTCACACCCAGAAAACGCTTCAGTTGTTGGTCCACAGCCTTGGTGGCGTGGTGGTGTCAGTTATAATGCTATACAGGGTGGTTTATCAGAAAACCCAGCAAAATCATCTGCTATGGAGCAAATTGAATTTCAATTGCACTCCAAGGATTCTGTCACGCATGGCGTTGGCCATCCTCTAGCAGATAATTTGGATGGGGGCACTGGTATTACTAAAGATATGCAGATGATGGCTACAAAACCTGGTTTGTCCTTGTGTCTATCATTTTGATTGCTTGATTTCAATTGCACATGCAGTTTGAATTATATGAAAATCTATTTACAATTAGAAAAATTTGTGCCTTGGTTGGCTTATTGGTTTGCAATGATTTAAGTTATTTTGTACATTTTGACTTTTTGAGGATTTGGATTATTCCAATATTTGTTCAGTCCTTTGGTCTTTAGTAATTTGGTTGTGATTACTCTCTTTCTCTCTTATAAATTTTGGTGTGGTGGAATTGGCATACCTAGGAGCGGATCTTAGCTGTTATTTATGATTATATGAAAGGAAAACTGCAGTTTTGTGGTGCTGTTGAAGTTTTTGCTGTCTGTTTTATTGGTCCTTCCTGTTCCCGTCATGTTCCTTTGAAATGCTTTCCTCGTACCATTCACATCATTGTGGCAGTGAATAGCAATATGACTTTTGAGGTAGTTCCTGTCAGATCAACTTGAGCATTTGCAGTTCTTTTAGTGCCCCTTGCGGTTGCTCATGTTTTGAGAGAGTTCCAAGTTGCGATGGAAGTGATGCTTTTAGTCCTTGAGAAGACCCTTACTGATCATAAAAGAATTGAGATACCTGGAGGACTGCTTTATATGCAGCTAGGTAAAGGATGGAAATGATCATCTTCTACTATGACAGTATTTTATCGGTACCATTTTGTCTCTTCTTAATGTCTTCTATGGCTGAACTTTGTAATGCCTGCTCTCCTTGCCATCTCTGTGATTGTTTGAGATAGAACCTGTTCTCTTTTAAAGGCCACCTCTTGTAAGATCAGCCCAACCTTCATCCTTTGGGATCAAAAGGAATAGGACGGCCTTTGAGGTGAGACTTGAGGTTGAACTATCAGAGATTCGATTATTGCAAGGGTGCTTGTTTAGAAGCAATTTCTTCAGATGTGTACTTTGGATCTCTTTAGATGTTCGGGGGACCTTGGTATCTTGCGGTGAATTTGCATTTTTTTTTTAATGCAGATTATACAACTCTTTTTTTATGCAATTCTGCGCCATTTGGTGAAATGTGTATACTTTCCCTTTTATAGTCCTGGTACTTCTCCCAAGAGAAAAAGAAGGAAAAACTATAAGCCCTTTATTTTTGTGTTCTTGGTACTTCTCCCAAGAACAAAAGAAAGAAAAACTATAAGAACTTTATTTTTGTGTTGCATATCATAGTGTCTAATAGTACAGATATCTTTGTATTTGACATTTTGAATAAAGTGCTATTTAAAAATTGAACTTTCAGTTTTTGTTACTTCATTATGTAGCATAAAGTACGTAATTATATAGCAAAGGAGGCGCTCAGGGATTGTGATGGCTTGGTCTCTTGTCCAAGAAGGAATGTAATATATTTTTGCTGGTTTTTATGATGAATGGGTCGACTATGTTGGTGGCATTTGAATATGGAGTTCAGATCTTGGCCTAGAGGGTTAAACTGGTTGCAGGCTTGGTGTTAGCTCTTAAAGGAATCTTGGACTGACAAAGGCAGGAGATTTACTTAAAGAATTTCAAGTTATTGTTCTGAAATCTTTTGTTTGGCCAGGTCATATGTGCAGCTTCTGAGGCATGAGTGTGCGCCGCGCCCTCATGTTGGATCTCATGACTCTTGGGCCCCATGGTAGCATGATCATTCATTACAGTTATATGGGCACAATGAGAAGGGGAATATCTGTTGAGAAGTTATAGCATTATTCCTCATGTTAGCTGATGCAGGATCCATTAATTTTCTCATGGGATGAGGGGAAGGGGAATGAATGTGGAGGACTCCAAGGCACATCGTTCGACCTTAGAAAGAGAAGTCCGTTGAAGTTGGGACTTATGTTCGATATTATTTTCCCGTGTAACTCGACCTGCACCTTCATTTAGCTGTGATGAATGTTAGTTGCACAAAATAAGTTACATACATCTTTTTTATTGTAGGAGATACAAGATAACTTTACAAAATTAACGAAATATTTACAAAATATTGATCCATATAGACTGCATATTGGATATTAATTGGCAATTGTAACAAAAAATTGGATAAGAAAACTTTATTGTAATGTAATGGTAGGAACTAGAGGGTAATGAACTTTATTGTAATGTAATGGTAGGAACTAGAGGGTAATGAACAAGTTTTTCACTTGATGTTTGTATATCTACCTCACACAAGAACTAAGTCAAAGCATGTGTTTCTAAGGATTCAAAGAAGAAGGAAAAGGAGACAATGGATAATATGGGGAAAGTCAAGCTTGAAAAGGTGGTAGTTGATAATAACTCAGGATAGCCATTGATAACATGTCTTCTGCTAGATCATGTGAAATGTACCATTCAATGGGTGATTAGAAGGGCAATATGTTTGTAGATCAGTTTTTTATTTTAGTTTATTTTATTTTATGCACACTGAATGCAGCCAACATGTTCTTGAACCTCTTGTATATGGCATTACAATTGTTGGTCCAGTTTCTCGTGTTTTCTCTACAAGAGGTATACGAGTAGTTCCAGATGTCTATGAGGCCATGGACCGTCTGAGTTGTCCTGTGAAGCACACTGAAATTGTATGTGTTCAGGGCTTTGTGATGTTTTGCTGCCTCTGTTCAAGATGCGGGACTCTAGAATATGGCAATTTTTCTTGTCATCATACAACTGACCTCAAAAAAAAGAATACAAATGTATTTTATTTTTTTTGGGCTAATGTAGCAATGTCATCATCATCATCATAGCTTTTTCCCAACTATTTAGGCTTGTGAATCCTGGTCCACCATTCTGCAGTATCAATGGTCATACCCTCAATGATGTCGTAAGTGCCCATATCTTTTCTCTATACTTCCAACCATGTCCTTTTAGGCCGACCTTTACCCTTTTTGAGCTTTCTACTTGAACCAACTCGTACCTCCTAACAAGTGTTGTAGTGGGGTCTACGCTGCACATGCCCAGCCCACCTAAGTTTACTCTCTCATCTTATCGCCTATTGGCGCTACAATTAAGTTCTCTCGAATGTATTCATTTCAAATTCTACCCCTTGTCTTGGCACCATCCATCTTGACATCCACATCTTAGCTACACTCATCCTATGGTTATGTTGTTTCTTGACCGACCAACATTCGGCCTCATAAAGTAAGGCTGGTCTGACAACATAGAACTTTCGCTTCAGCTTCATTGGTATGTGGCAATCACATAAAACTTTGGTTGCACATCTCCACTTTGCCCACCTAACCCTAATTCTATGTGTGACAACTTTCTTAATCTCTCTATTTCCTAGATTATCGATCCAAAATTTTCAAGGTGCACTTTTTTTTGTATTTCTTGGTTGTCAATCTTATGTACTTCGTCTCCACTCTTATTATTACTAATCTTGCATTCCATATACTCTTAGTTCGGCTAATTTTAAAACCTTTAGATTCTAGAGCGTCCCTCTAAAGTTCTAACTTTGTGTTAACTCCACTTCAAGTCTCATTGATCAAAACTCTGTTGTCCGCGGTCTGTGAGCAACATCCACCACGGTACTTTATCTTGTAGGTGCCTAGTTAAGTCATCCATAACTAAGACAAAGAGGTGTAGGCTCAATGCTGACCTCTAATGTAGACTTATTGTCACTGAAAACTCACTCATTTCTCCACTAGTTGTTTGAACACTAGTTAGCGCTCCCTCGTACATATTTTTTACCAAGTCGGTGTGGTATTTGGAGCCTTTTTTTTTCAACACCCACCAAATTAAATCTCGAGGTACTCAATCATAACCTTTCTCGAGATCGATAGCGACCATGTGGAGATCTATTCTTTTCGCCCTAAACTTCTCAATCAGTTGTCTAGGTAGAAAAATATCCTCAATTGTTGACTTCCTTGACATATAATTAAATTGATTTTCTGATACACTCGCTTCATGCCATAGTTGTTGCTCAATTGCTTACTTCCAGAACTTCATAGTGTGGTTCATAAGTCTGATCTCTCGCTGGTTATGCACAATTCTATATGTTTTCTTTGCTTTTGTAAACAGGTACTACTATGCTTTTCCTCCATTCGTCTAGTTTTTTTTGTTCTCAACATCTTGTTGAACAACTTGGTCAGCCGGCCTATGCGATCTCCCCAATGCGCTTCCAAACCTTCATCAGGATACCATCTGGTCCTAAAGCTTTTCTTATCTTCTTCCTCGAAGCTTCTTTCACTTTCAATATCCTAATCCTACGAATGTATCTGTGACCTGCGCCCTCATTTATGTTAAGGGTTTTTTCTACCACTGTGTTCCCATTGTGTTTGTCATTTAATAATTTTTTAAAATAAACTACCCACCTTTTGTTGACCTCTTCATCTTTCACCAAGATCCTTTGATGCTTACTCTTAATGTATTTAATATGGTTAAGATCCCCACATTTTTTCTCTCTCAGTTTTACTAATTTGAAGACATTTGTTTCACCTTTTGTTTTTCCCAGTTAACTTATAGAGTATCATATGTTTTAAGTTCAATCTTATGTATTATTTATTTAGTATTTTCCTTAGAATTTTATATTTTTTCAAGTTTTGATAATTTCTTTTACATTGCCAAGTCTTATAACATTATCATTTTTCGCTAATGGCCTTCTGAGTCTCATGACTCCACCACTAATTTTCTTTATCGGGATTTGTTCTTTCTTGTTTCTTCTAGAATTTCTTTTGCAACTCTCTTAATACAATCAGCCATCTCATTCCACATAGCATTGACCTCATATTGAGACTTCCATTTTCCTTCTTTAATTAATCTATCAATAAATAAATCCATTTTCTAATTTTTTAAATTCCACCACCTAGCTCTTGAACACCTATTAATTTCAATGTTCATCTTGCTTTTCTAGAATACCCTCACCCATCTTTTTTTTTCCACTAAACCCATATCCCCTATGTACCCCTTTATATCCTCTATTATCCTTCCTTATATGATCATTTAAGTCCCCTCCTAGAAATGTTCTCTCTCTATTTGATATGTTTTGGACTAGTCCATCCATTTCCTCTTAGAATTCTCTATTAATTCTATCTACTAGCCCTACTTGTGGTGCATAAGCACTAATTACGTTAATTATCTCTTCTTCTAATATGAGAGAGTGTAGACTTTGGTGGGCTGGCCATGTCTGGTACCGACCAAGTACAACACCTATTAGTAGGTGCGAGTTAGTTCAAGTGGAAGGATTGAAAAGGGCAAGGGTAGGCCCAAAAAAATGTGGTTGGAAGTAGTTCAAAAAGAGTAGGGGACTTATGGCCTCACTGAGGATATGGCCTTTAATATAGCAGATTGGAGAACCAAGATTCATGTAGCCGACTCCAATTAATTGGGAAAAGGTTAAAATGATGATGATGATGATTATGATCTCTTCTTCTAATACAAGTTTAATTATTAGGAGCTTATCACCTATTCTCTTGACATTAACTATTTTATCTTTTAAATCTTCATCTACTATTATATCTTCATCTACTATTATGCTTACGCCAATACTGTTATCATCCCTTCCCATATATTAAAGTTCATACTCATCTATTTCCTTGCTTCGTACCCTTTCCACTTAGTTTCCTGTATGCAAGCTACGCTAATGTAGAAATGTAAAACATCTTAATGGATTCCTCCATACAATTTATAGACCATTGCTAAACTTGGGGCATGTTTGTTTCATGTGAAAATATTTTTCAGGAATATTTTCACGTGAAAGAATTCCCTCATGTGGCTAGGTGTGGGAATATTCTCACACCAAATGGTCCTCGTGCATCTTTTTACACCAGTTGGCAGCTAATTGGTGTGAAAATATTCTCACACTTAACCACGAGGAATTTTTTCACGTGAAAAAAATCTTTGTTTGTTCCCCTTTCGGGCTAAAAGCATTTAGAGAGCTAGGGCACCCAATCTATTATTAGCAATTATTGGCTTATGAATCTGATGAAGAAATATACCACTGGACAAGAGATAATTCATCTTAATGTCACAGAGTTTTGGGCAGATTTCATTACCTTGATGATGCCTTGCCATGTAAAATCCGCCTGTTAGACTATGTTGATTTTGTTTCTTTGAAACGATTTCTTGTGGATGGTGATGGTGAGATTGGGATCTCTCTCTCTCTCATTTCCGGTAGATGGTGATAGTGAGTGGGATATTTCTCTCCATCTCTCTCATAGTTGTCCATTTTGATTATGATAACCTTAAGGACTTATTTTTCCAGAGTCCAATGGATTATTATACATCAGTCACCTTTTGTTTAGACGTCTAGTTGGAAACATGAATGCATTTTTCTTTTGCCACCGAAAAGTGGCTGTATAATTTATATTCTCATAATTTTTCATGTGGTGGTGCATTATGGACTTTGAACATCTGCACCATGATTTGAGGTTTTTGGAAACATCTTTGAATCACCAGATGAATAATTTTAATAAAAAAAAAAAAACAGATTTTGAGTTTCTAAGAACCTAGATCAGACCGTCTAAAAAAATGGGTGGTCTGTATTCACTCTGGGTATGGGATGTTTTCAGGGTCCAATTTCAGCTTCCTTTTTACATCAGTCGCTAGTATGAGTAGATAACATCATTTGAAGTCCAACAAATATTCTTAGGTAAGTTTTTCTAGAGAGAGCAAGTGGAAAATTTTCTCCCAGGGAAGCATATAATTTTTTGCACCATCAAAACTTTACTAACTTCTTCTCGCAATGTCCTATATTTTTAATACACTTTCAAAATTTCTCCGAAATGCGCCTGATGTCTATGAACTGCTCAGAATTCCTATATGTTCTACTGAAAAGATTTTGTTTATGAAGATATCCTATGCTTTTGCTGCTGTTAATGCTCCATGAAAACTGGGATTGAAGACTATCTCTAATTTGTGGTTGCTTCAGAGGGATTCCTATTGTGAATATTGCAATGGTAGATGCTGGCTGACATTTTGCACCATGTTGCACATTCACAACTTGTTTGGAGAAAAAATTCTGTCCATTCTACTGAAAGCACTTCTTTCACAGAACCATTAATAGATTTTATCTGCATTTTAGTACTTGGATGGGATGATAATAACAATCATTTTCTCATTTCAGGGCCAGATGGAAGCTATGGACATGATCCTCAGCATTTGCAGCATGTCACAAATGTGATACCTCCTGTGGTGGCTGAATACCTTGTGCCACATACCCAGTTAGAACTTGGTCCCTCAATAGTAAGAACGTTTATGATTGCCACCACTAGTGATTTTTGTGACCTAAACTAACGAGTGTCCTTGCCATTTTTCTACTAGGTGGTTTATTGTTCCTTCTCATAGAGTATTTTGCTGAATATAGAGTTTTTTTTCAGGCACGGGCACCATATCCTTATTCTGATCCTTACTATGGAGGCATTATGACTGCCTATGGAACCCAGGCTTTGGTAAGTTTCCTGTATGTGCTGCATTGCTTCTCCTTAATTTTTTAATCGTATTAAATCCTTTTATACAATTTGTATTTCTGTTTCCACCCAAAGCTTGGGGGGTGATAAAAAGGAAGACTTGCTGGCTTGAATGCCACCCATCTATATGGGTGCCAAGAGGAAAAAGATGGTTACATATAACAGCACCCTTTTTCTGCTGTTATTTCTTCTGGGAAAGTATGCTATAATCTGATGGCCTATTATGAGTTTCTGTTGGTTTCATCACCATCCAAGGAGATGAAGATGATGGAGAGAGAGGAAGACCATTGGTATGGGACTAACCCAATGGTGGGTCCGGCTTGCATTAGCTTCCATCATCTCATCAGATTGTGATGGCCACAATGGACCGTGAGTATTCTGAAGTCCAATGGACTATGTTATACTTTCCTTGTCTTGACAAATGCTGCTTGAAGAGTGGTTGGTGCGCCATTGTCTTACTTTCTTGGTTCAAAACATTTTTATTGCTATTGCTTAATATTGTTTAATCGACATGGCACTGTGGTTTACTCATTGTCGATTTATTAGTATACTCTCTCCTTTTGTATAGTCTGATTACAATCTCGTTGATTTTTCTATGAATCGGAAATCACCAGTCATGGATTGGAGAGCAATGTGAAGGTAGATTAACTAAGCATGCAGTTTATTTTGTTCTAGTGATTGGGAACATGTGAAATTTATGTTAGGTTCATCCTCATTTACTGGGTTTGCACCAAAGTCGGATGCCTCTGCCCCTCGAGATGACTGAAGAGCCTGTATATGTTAACGCCAAGCAGTACCATGGGATTCTAAGGCGAAGACAGTCACGTGCCAAGGCAGAGTTGGAGAAGAAGCTGATAAAAGTTAGAAAGGTATCTAGATATAATTCCATTATTTTCAGTTATTACTAAAGCATATAAGTTGGAAAGTTATCATAGTCTAGTTTGGGTTTGTTTTTAGTCATTTAGTTAAGCTTACATGACTAAATGGGCTCAATCCATGGCACAAGACACCTTGTTTGGGTTTGTTTTTAGTCATTTAGTTAAGCTTACATGACTAAATGGGCTCAATCCATGGCACAAGACACCTTGTTTAGATCTAGTGTTGTCAAAACTTCATTTGCATCTTATTTTTGTTTTATTTGACAATCAAAAACATCAGTCCCAGTTCTCCTAATGTTTGCACGTGTGGATTCTGTCAAATTAGTTCCTGAGATACAAGTCCCAAATAGGTTTTGCTGGTGTTCCTTTGAGACGGGGAAACTTATTCTGAACTGGGTTTCAAATCATACTTTATCTGTGCATATATGGTTGGTTGGTAAATTTGCTAGTCAAAGCTATTATCTCGTGGGTTAGTGTGTCTGGTACACGAGTAAGCATCCCCTGAGAGTGGAGACCAACCGCACTTGCCTGTGCACTTGATGGCCATCTCTCATATAGTACAACAGATGCCCTGGTGGTATACCATACACTACCCCTTGGTAGTATACCATTTCTTCTGTTGGCATAGGTGTTCTTTTTATGGGCTTTGGAATTTGGTTTTTAATTTGTCTGAGTGGAAATTCCTGGTTTTCATTGTGTTCTCAATTTTTCTCTCAACTATTACTTACAAGTCTGATGTTCCTTATGTCCCAAATTACAAAATTAAGTAAAATTGAACGGTGTAGTAAATTTAGTAGTATGTGATGTCAGGCATTTTACTCAATTTGCCTGTATTTTATCATTTTTTATGTTGATGATGAGCTTGGTTGACCTTTTTGCTGTACTTCATGGCTACAATGTTTTGCCCTTCTCATTTTGGGGGCTTTAGGAGCATTTGTTTCTCGTGAAATTTGGCATGCACATCCTTTTGACCTTTGATCAAGACGCTAAAAAAAATTCATTGAATGAATAAATTAGGAAATAGTTGTTTTTGCTCAATAAGAGCAAGCTGTCCATTTCATGGCCGGTAAAAAATATATAGAAGATTGCACCCTTATTTGTAGGAAGCTTCCTCAAAAAAACCTTTTTATAGGAATAAGGTAGCGATAATCTACGCCGACCATTTTAATTGGTTGGTATTTGAGCTGGTGTACATTGGGCATTATCTTAAATGACGTGCCATGTATTGACATTATCTTAAAAGATGTATCATACCATCCAAATAAAATGGATGGTGTAGAGTATTGCGACCTTATTTGTAGCCTTATACAAACCACACCTTTTTTATGCTGTATTGTTCAAGTGATCATAAGGCAATTTCCGAAATTAGAATTCAAATTAATTTCCCTACGGCCTTGATGTGACATTATTCCTCTTGCCCAGCATGTATTCATGGCATTCTCTACAGGAAAAGAAAAAAAAAAAAAATTGTAGGTTTCATTCTGAAAACGGCTGTTGCCAAGAGCATATGTTTATATAAACTTGAGATAAAAAATTTGCCAAAATTTGCCCCCAGGACCCCAAAATGGGGGAGGGCGAATAATGTTTTTGTCTGCCTCTATGTGGCCCTTACGTTTTCTCTTACCAAGGTTTATTCAATTTCTTAACCATTAACGTGCAGGACTGACACATGCCTTCAAAAATAGGGTAGCAAAAACAAAACCTTTTAAGTATTGAGAAGAGGGAGAAAACCATGGAGAGCCTTCCTCTTTCCTCTCTCTGGGGAGGAAATAGATGCTAAAATTCGAAGTCTATGCATCTGATTATCTATCGTAACTCTTACTGGCACTTGAGAACTTTGTACTTGTCTCTGGCAGCCATACCTGCATGAGTCCCGACACCAACACGCCATGAGGAGAGCAAGGGGATGTGGAGGCCGCTTCCTCAATACAAAGAAAGGGAATTCGAATGCAACAAATCCCGAAACCTCAAACAAAGGTACAACCCCTCCAACCCACTCATCCAACTCTTCTGGCTCTGAGCCATTGCCATGTGATGGTCATAGCACAAGCCCCTCAAATGGGATAAAATTCAAGGATTCGATGATGCATGAGGAACATGATGGTCACATGTATGCCAATGGCAATGCCAATGCCAATGGATGTTATCAGCATCCCGGGTTCCACTTATCGGCCTTCCATTCACTATCGAGTGAGAGAGGGCAGGAAGGCGATTGTGGGGGTATCATGCTCTCCGGCCGGGCCCCTCACCGCGCCCTTACCATCCAGTGAGCTCTCTCTCTAGCCTTTTATGGTCTGCCACTTCAATTGTGGTCATGCCGGATTCCTATTCTCTCTCTCACCCACTGTGGAAGGAGCAAGCTTCGCGGTGAAGCTCAGGGCATGGAATCATATCAGGCGCTGGAGGTGTCAAGGCACCTTTTAACTGGGAAGGGGAGCTTATCTAAGGCAATTCATTCTTGGCTTCGTTTTAGAGTTTTCGGAGGTGAAAGAGAAGGGAGAATGGAAAGAAATTTGAACCTAATTTAAGACGAGTGGGTTTAAGCTCCATTTTGTAAAAAAGAAAGGAATGTGAAGGGGACGGGCTGAGCTTGTTCCTTGTTTGGTTTTTTTTTTTCTTTTTCTGTTGCCTTCCTTTTGTTTCTCTTTTTCCTGGTGATAGAAGAAAGGTTAGGGTTGTTTGTAGGTAACTGAATTATCTTGGTGAAGGCATCATTCGAAAAGTTTGAGCTTCTTTAGTTTCCTTTTGTTGTCAATTTTGTCTCTCCTTTGGGTCATACCATTATCTTAAGGAGGTATGGTTTTTGGTGTTTGCTGGGAAAAGGATGGCAACGGGCCTGCCCAGCCTGGTCCGGCAACTGTCCCCATAAGCTGGTCCAGGCCCGGCTCTGGCTTGGTTAGATTGGGCCGGGTCAAAAACAAATGAAGCAAAAAATAACAAGCGCCAATTGGCCCTAGACCTGGTCCTCGTGCCACAGATTGTAGTCTGGGGCCAGGCTCTGCTTTCTATGGCCGGAACAACCAGCCCTGGTAGGGCCACCCAGCCCAATGCGAGCTCTAGCTGGGAAAGCGCATCGCGCCATTGTTTGAGGGCTATGTTAGTCTACGATGCCTTGGCTATTTATATGTTTGCTCTAGGCACCTCTTTTTTTAGTGCATTTAAGATTTAGTAGTCAGGTTTCCCTTGTTAGAGGTAATCTTGAAACAGAGGGGTAGTTGGTTATTTCTTTGTTGACTCCTTGCATTAATTTAAGCTTGTATAATTGGCTGCTTTCTCTCTTTATCGAAAACAAGAGGCAGAAGAAGCTTGAAACATAGCTTCCATATTTTGTTGGTTGGCGGGTTGTAGGCGGTGGCGTTTGACTGGTAGTTTCCGCTTGTGGCTTATCACACTCATGCTTTGCGCTACTTCACTTTGTTTCCACAAAGCCGATGGAACCCTATTAATGAGAGGTATTCAACTCCGTTGGTTTGAACTTTTCGTTGGAACGTTTTCCTGGAATTTCAGGGCTGAAGCCTTCTCAATTTTGCAACCAACGCTTAAATTTATTTTTTTTAAAAAAATCTGAGAATGTTTTTCTGACATTTCTCGGAGCTTTCTCAATTTTGCAACCATTCTATTAAAAAAAGAAAAAATAAAAAAAATCATACACACCTGTAAGTGGAATGGAAGGAAAATATTAGGGATTGTCAATAAAGAGTTTCTGGATAGTTTTTTCATTAGATGTCAAATTGGATAGTTTGGGGTGAATAATGAAGTCTCGACGATTTTTTTTTGGAACTTTGTCTATGACTCTTTACAACCATCCATAATGAAATTTAAGATTTTTACATATAAGTGATCGACAGTCCCAAAAATTGATAGCTGAGGAGTCTTGAGATTTAACGGAGACTATCGCATCTAAACTCCTCGGAACTCAACTGTCGTAGAGGCTATACTCAATCTCTCGGACAAAAGATATGCTTGGCAGAAGACTTCTAAGCGCGGATCTATCTAAGAATCATTTAAATGATTATTCTAATAAATAAGTAATGGGTTTTCAGTTCTGCGAACCTTTCCTCCAAAGGTTAGATGGTCCTCTATTACTTTTTTTTGTTTTTTACTTGGGAACTTAATTTAATATTTTAAAATAATCTTATATAGTTTATATTTTACAATCGAGTTTAGATATTATTATAATTTTATCTTTTTTTTCTAGTGAATTATGTATATAAATTTTAAAAATATTTGAATTAAAAAAAAAAAACCAAATGTCCCCTTAATACTAGAGGGCCACTTTGGTAATTTCATTTATTTTATTTTAAATAATTTCATTGGTATACAAGCAAAGAGAATGAAAACACTCAATTTGAGATGAATCTAATGTAAAACAAAATACATAAAATTTAAAAAATAAAATTAATTGTAAAATACAAAATATATAAGATTATTTTTACATATAAAACATAAGATTTATATGTAAATTTCCCTAGCTTTAAAGCAAATTATAGAGCCGGACCTTTATTTTTGTCCTCTCTGGGAGGTTGGTTTCTTTCAATTTGCGATTCAGTCCTAAAAATGTTCCTAGGGTTTTGCTACAGTGAGTAGTAGGAGAACACTTCCCAAGAGATGCCAAAGCAGTTTTCAAAATTCCAGGTCAAGTGCAACTGGGACTGGACAAAATTCCAGGTCCACTAGAAAGGAGTAATGTAAGTGTACTCCCACTGGAACATGCTACAGGCACAAAAAATCATTCAAGTGGACCACGAAGATAGAGGCGTCACGTATTCATCCACGAAAGAAGAGAGAGAAAAGAGTGAGAGAGACAGAAAGGTACGACAGTAGACATCTCATATCCAACCATAAAGAGCAACATGGACGCTCACATGGTCAACAACTTGTCTGCCTCTTACAACCCTGCACCTGTTTCCCATGTGGACCACCCAATCAACCTTCTTCCCATCTAACTTCCACTCGTAGAAACAAGTACCCCCTCTTGTTTCGCTTACTTAAATCTCGCCAATTACCTTACTAAAACTTCTTCGGTTAAAACATCAGCATCAGTTTAGGCTTCTGAAACCGATACTAACAAGCAATAGAAAGAATCCAATGACGTCAAATTTTCATGAATTTCTCTTTCTAGATTATAAAGAGTTGGCACCCAACACGCATCTCTCCAATTGTGGGGTCAATAGATACTACAGTACTTCATTGATAAATAAAGAATTTCAATAATCTGTCCAATCTTTCTCCCTTTTGGTACTCATGAGAAAGGAAACAATGCTGCTGAAGCCCAATTCTAGTAAAAAACACTCTCATACAAGTGTATATATCCCTTAAATATTAAACAAACAAAATTTCAGAGGCTTTGAATGTATCCAGCATGTGTGTAGAATTCATGAATCCTTCATAATCAATCAGCACTCGCCACGATACTGACAGTGTCATCGAAGTTAGAATGAAAACCAAGAATTGGGTTAAAATATGTGAGACTCTGGTTCATGGCACCAAAACGAGGTCTTCTAAAGGTTATTTAGTCCCATACCACCTTCAACAGAGTCGATCGCATAAATATTCAACCCTTTTGTTCGGCCTGGTGCACCACCTTTAAGAGAAGACGCATCGAGAACATACCTGCCACACCAAATAAGAAACTAAGCAAATATACTCCTTGAGAAATATGCTTCTCTAAGGGACATAGAGCAAAACAAGGGAAAATAATGAAAGGAGAATGACTCTATCTAAGAGCTTTCTTTAGATGTGAGTTAGAAATACTCACAGGATATTTGATGGTTTTCCTTGTTCAGTAGTACCACCGTGAATCAGAACCTTTTGATCCATTTCAAGCACTAGATGTCCTTTCGGTAGCACAATGCTTTTCGTACCTAATATGATTGGCATTGTGAGAGAGGTAGATTAGGCTTCATGCTGTAACATTAAGGCATAGAGAGTATAGTCCAAGATAGAGGAACTTACAATGTTGACGTGCCTCGCCATTTTCCATATCAAGGCCCAAGATGCTCTACACCATAATAATGATTCCATCAGACCCAAATTCCATATCAAAAAACGGTTCTCGAATCCAAATAAATGAGAGAGAGAGAGAGAGAGAGAAAGAGAGAGAGAGAACCTTAAGATTGGCATAACACATTTCGAGGTCGTCATTCACAAGAATATGGTCAAATAGATTGGATGACCGACCTTGCTCAAGCTCTGCCCTGGCATTTCTAAGTCGCTTCTGAATCTGTTCCTCTGTTTCGGTTCCCCTGTTTATCATCCCAGACATGACTTTTGTTTGGTTATTTTCTCATGATAACTAGTTGTCTAATGGTTGTACAGGAAACTCTAGTTCTAGACCCAAAGAAATAAATTGTAGAGACTTCAAGATATCAATATTACCTATCACGAAGCCTCTTCTCGAGTTCCTCAAATGAAGGTGGGCAGATAAAGATGAATATAGCCTCCAAAGAACTAGCCCTCACAGACCTTACTCCTTGAACATCAATGTCTAGAATGCACCGCTGCAATTTAAAAATCAACACACAATGTCAGCCTACAATCTATATAGATAAACACCCTTTTTGAAAACTGTTATATAATGTCTAGAGAGACTGAATAAATGAGTCTCCATACGATATACATATGAGACATAGTACAAAAAATATACTGTAGAGATCCCTTGAAAAGACAGATGAAAAGCAAAAGTCTCCACCTTTCCGGCATCAGTTACAGCCTCGACAGCCTCAATGCTCGTGCCATAGAGATTCCCATGCACAGATGCTGATTCAAGAAACTTCCCATCTCTTATATCCTTCTCCATAATACTTCTGTCTGTGAAGTGATAATGAACTCCATTCTTTTCATTGCATCTTGGGGACCTGGTTGTGTGGCTCACTGAAAACCCAAAAGTAGAAGGGAATTCTTTCATCAGCTTAGAAATGAGGGTTCCCTTTCCCACCCCAGAAGGACCACTGATGACTATTGGCACTGGACTGTCCCCTCTCAGTCCCTTACTCCATGCTACCACTTCCTTTCCTAGCTTTTTCCTTTGCTCTTTGACGTAAGGCGTATCAACCTATTGATGAAAATCATAAAAATTAGATTTTGGGCTTTCAGTTTGAATCTGATATCGTCCATCACCAGAAATATAAGAGAAGGAAAACTGAAAAAGGTATTTTGAAAAACAAATAAGATAAACTTCTGCATTGGAGAGGACGATAACCTGAGAATGAGTCATCTTCTGAATGTAAACTAGTTTTTCTGACATGGATTTCGAAAAAGAAAAGAAAGAATATAACAATACGAGGTATATTGAGAAAAGGAAGCTAACAAGACCCAATTCTGAAAGTCAGTCATTTTCTGAATCTCAAGAAAGTTTCGCAGATATGGGTTTCAGTCAAGGAAACATAGACAAACAATTGCAGGAAAATATCTTACCCAGTGAAATATTTTAAGAACAGCATCGAAGAAAATAAAGACACATCATACAAGACAAGGATGGGGAAAATAAATTAGACAGAGAAGTTTCAGGCATATTCTGCTCATGTTTTATAGTGCGGGATTCTATAGAACTCGCAATCACTAGTGCTAAGATACAAATAACTTGATTCCATATCGAAGGAAAACTTTTAGCCAGCACAAAAATTCTTAGAATGAAAGTCCTCACTAGGGAATACACTGATTGCCATTGTCATAGCCCCCAATAATTCTACGTGTTGCCTTAGTACATCACTGTAGGACTATTAAAGACTAAAACCATTAGCAATTACTGACCACACAAAGGAAGTGAGTTAATTTTATCACGGCCAAAGTTCCATTTTTTTGAGAGAATTTTCCAAAGTTCCATTGAACTAATCAAATCAAGTACTCTAATTGAACAACAACTTTCTTTTCATAAAAATACAATAGATAGATGCTAATAGCAAAAAGTCAAATGACCGAGTAAACTCTTTAGTCCTTGGCAATTTCTGTGCATGTGGTCAAATGTGGCCTAAGTAATTCGCATCATAAATAAAAAGGATGAGTTTCAACAGCATTCAGACCTCAAGAAACCATATGCTGTCGTCTGTCGGAGCATCCCTCTCAAGAACCAGTATCCTCTCTTTGTTTAGAAGCACAGATGAGTGAGCTTTAGAAATAACATGCTTTGTGCCCAATACAATAGGAACCACCCTAACCAAGCATTTAAAAGTTAGAGGAAATAAAAGGGGGAAAAACATCCAAAATGTTCTTAACCAAGAAATTGACTTTACCAACCAAACTCACCATTCTCCAGTTGACTTGTGGAAAATTCTTACACTCTCAGAGAAGATACCTTCATCAGAACCTCCAATTACATACTGCAAAATCAAAAGTAAGCATCAGGGGAGGAAGGGGGAGAGGGAAGAGAGAGAGTATGTCACGTTTACTCACAATTTTTTCGCTGATCAATGTGGCAGTCTGAGAACCTGAGGATTGTAAGTTGATTCCGGAAGGCATGTCGACTTCTAAGTCATTCAATGAAACATCATGTACCTCCCCCTGATGATTTGAATCACAACAAGGGAAAAAAAGAAGAAAAGAAAAAGAATGAGGACAGCACCTTAAAAGGCTTGAATCACATGTTTAACCAACTTTGCCTCTGATCCTCAGAAAGGAGGGGCATAATTGTCACAAATTAACTTTTGGTTGATAAAATTGGCAGGTTTTCTCTCTAATAACACCAGCAAAAGAGAAGAAATCAAAATTTCCTTCTTTTACTCTTTTTATCAATTCATTATAAAACAGAGCTATTTAGAAAGAGTATATCTCACCATTAAAGGATTTCTGTCACCAAAAATGAACCCTTTCAACCTGCATGAGAATGCCAAAAATTATCCTCTTGACTAACAAGAAATAAACAAAAGATATACAGACAAATAAACAAGCAAAAATTATATAAACAAAAAATTCGAAAGTAGGGTAGAAATAAAAAAGAACTTCAGAAAGCAAAATGCCCAAAATATATCATTCCAAATGTTAGCTAGATGCTGTCAGTATGAGCGTCATAGACATATATAGCGACAGAGAGGGGGGATCCCTACCAGTTCAATAAATTTCTCCAACTGTGCTTCAAGGCGAGCCTCTGCTTTAAGTCTTTGGATCTGAAGACGTTCATGATCAATAACAGGTTTACAAGATGTTTAAAAACAACACAAAAAAAATCACCAAGTTGGTTTAATTTCAGGAATCGTGAAAAATAATAAACTCCTAAAACAACCCGAAATAAACCAGAGATTTGAAAATCACAGACCAACGAATAACAAAGGTCTCCAAGAAAGAGAATCTCAAGATTGGTGCGTAAGAACAAAACCAGTTGCCCATATTCAAGCTTATAAGAAAAGCAACCAGAACTTTGTTTATTGAGGCCAATCAAAATTTCAGCATTTAAGGAATAAAATAATATATAAAAAAAGAAAACCCCCACAAAATAGCATCAGGAAACTTCTACCAATCTAAGGCCACAATCTCTAAAAGGCATCAAAGAAACGATCAATGTGGAGTTACTTGCTACCCAAGCCTTCTCATCAATGGCAAGTTGGACTAGAATCATCTAAAACGTTAATTATATGCCACAATTGGGGAATTTCAGGCCAACAAGAATCAGAACTTCAAACTCACAGATACCCAAATAAGAATTAAACCAATATACCAAAACTTTCATCAATGAAAGTATCCAAGAATATGATAATAACAACACAGAGATGCCCAACATCCAAAACTAAACCAAAAGTAGAATATCTATATCAGCATTCCCACCTAACGATCACCCAACCGAAAAATACAACCAAATGCTGACCAGAAAAAAAAAAAGAAAGACAATTTGTGTTAAAAATTGCCAATTGTGATTGACCCAAAGAAAACAAAACCTTTTATCTTGTTCAGTTAATGAGAAAGATAAAAGACTGAAATGGATGAAGTTTATGAGTTGGGTCTAACCTGATGAGAGAGAAAATCTAGCGAGCTATTTTCTTTTTCTCGCTTTGATCTCAGTCAAATCTCATTGAATAAAGAAACCTTCCATATGAAGAAGAGACGAGAGCAAGACACTTTATAGAGCCTTCGAAACGAGCGAAAGACAGAAGTCTTGCAAAACCGCGTTTACGAAACCAGGGAAAAACGATTCTTGATTTTCTTCATTTTAGAGAGAGAAAGAGGGAGGGAGACTTTCCTTTTGATTTTGCCAAAGAAGGTTCCCGGCTTTCCGCAATCAAAGGGTCGCTTTAGGTTGCGAAATTTGACATAAGTACCCTTTACTTTTTCGTAAGTGACATCCATGTCCCTGCATAGTAATACCACTATACATACATATGATACGAACATGGGCAATCAAGTGGGATCGCCGTTAACAGGCGGCCATCCCGTATATGGTAGAAACGCGGGCTTAACAATAAATATATTTTTTTAGAAGATATTACTGTAGATTATTTTTTTATTTTTCTTTCAACCAGCATAAAAAAACCTTAAAATATTTCACGATACCCCCTCAACTTTTCTTTATGTTTATTCACTTTTGGCCACAAAAACCCGCCCCAATAAATTGTTTTATTTCTTTTCAATCCAAAAACTGTTTTAACCCTATTAGAAATAAATGAGATGAAATAAAACAATTTGTTAAGGCGAATTTTGGTAGCCAAACGTGAATAAAAGTAGGAGAAAAGAGATAAGGGGGTACATTGAAATACTTGAGGTTTTTTTATGTGGCTTGAAAGAAAAATAGAAAGAGGGTCTACCGTGAAATAAGATGGGAATTATGGATTCTGTATAAAAATTTTCATTTTTTAAATATAATTTGATCCTAATTTTTATAGAATATATAATCTTTAACATAGAGGTCATGAATACGATTTTAAAAAAAAAAACCAGAAATAATAATTATGTTAAGAAAATATTTGGACAATTAAGGGCCGTTTGGGTATCTGAAAATATATTATAAGGAAATGGATTACTAGAAAATATGATATTTACAATGTTTGGTATATTTATTAATAAGAAAATTGATATAGATTACACAATATTTCTCCAAATATCATGAAATCTATTACACTCGGAAACGACTAGGAAATCTTTTACACTCGTGACGACTAATCTTTAAAAAACTATTTTTTTTCTAACATCCTCTTCTGCCTCTCAAGCTTCCCTTTTCCTTCTTAACGATTCAAGGCCATTTTTAAATTATAGTATCAATTTCTATCCTCTCATCATTTTACTCGAATCCACCCTCTTATCTTCCTTGCCTCCTCAACCTTTTTCTCTATTCATCACTCTCAAGCTCCCCTTTTTCAGATTCAGACAATTTCTAAATCATGGTATCAATTTCTCTTTCTTCATCATACATTGCTCTTCCTTGCTTCCTCAACGTTTCTCTCTCTTCATCAGAAACTGTATTTATGGAAACCAAATGTTCTATGTTTGCTTATTGATATTTATATAGTTAGTCATCTTTGCTTAGCATCTCTTCTCTGTCCCTCTTCGAGCCTCCCTTCTCTATCCCTCTTCAAGCCTCCCTCCTCTGTTCTCTCTCCAAGCGATTTCGAGCCTCCCTTCTTTATCCCTCTTCGAACCTCTCTCCTCTACTCTCTCTCCAAGAGAGATGTGCGGGTAAATTACAATGATTATTTTTTTCTTCTCTTTTTTTAAAAAATATTTTTTTGATATTAGATTTAGATCGAGACAAAAAAAAGTGAAAAATTATATTTTATTTAAATTATAATGATTACTCTTTGGAAGAAAAAGTACTTTTTTCGGATTAGGGTTTAGATAGATAAATTACTTACACATTGGCCTCTTCCAATATTTTAATCTAATTTTTAAAATACTTTATCATTTTACAATAATTTTTTTAAAAAATACATCACCATTTACTATATTTAAACTACAAATTAACGATATTTAAGGGTTGTGACTAAAATAGTTTACTCAATGTTTATGACCAATATTAATTCACACTATTAAGTTATTGTTCTTTGAGGCATGACAAGCATGGTATAGTCATGCTATATTTTAATATTAAATAGGAATATCCATTTTAATATTAAATAGGAATGTCTTCAAATAGACCATTTATCTTTTGTGAATGGAGGTCACAAACATTCTCAAATATTAGATGTCAAATTGGATGGCTTGAGGAGTCATGAGTGAATATTTTTTTAAAAAAAATTCTATTTATTTAATGCCACTAATACAACCATCCATTTTGAAATTTAAAGGACAAGAATGATTGTGCATACAAAAGATAAATGGTCTATTTGTAGATAATTCCATATTAAATCGCTATGTCTAATAAAAGCAAATTTAAGATACAATGTAGGCAATTCCATATTAAACCGTATCAATGGTCTCTTTGTAGACAATTCTATATTAAATCGCTATATCTAGTAAGAGCAATGTAAGAGCAAATTTAAGGTGTAGTGTGGGCAATTCCATATTAAACCGTATCAAGTAAGATCAATGTATTTCCTTGGTTCCATCTAAATACTACCCAAACAGTAACATTCCATTTGCATGTAATGTATTACGTAATAATGTAGTACACCAGTAATATATTTCACATATAAGATATTTCTAGGTATCCAAGCCTCTTAGTTACAATTGTTTTTAGATGGACCACCTATTTACATCCATCTTTAAGATGGATGCTTTATACCTATGAACTGCAAGTTATAGAAATGCGGTTTAGCCCGCATGAAACAAGTGTTCATCAAGTAGTGCGTCCAACAAATATAAGATTTGGTGATCCCTATTCAGGATAGCATTGGGACATGTGGCCTGGCCCTAAAAAAACTAGGGCCTAGGTCACAAAATGTGGCTTGTGAGCCAAGCCTAGACCATGCCAAGATAGGCTCGCCTGACCCATTCTTATTTTTGTATCTTTTTTCTCTTTGTTTTTTCCCAAATAGGGACAAGGTAGGGCCTGGGCTGGCCTGGGAATAGGCCTAGGCCAAGCCTATTGCCAACCCTAATCTTGATTCAAAATTATACATCTAATTTGGGTCTACCTTAGACCTGGTTGCGTAGGTCCGAGTTGGGATTGACCTTGACCCTACCCAACCCACTTACTACTTTCTGGCCTTATTATATTGGTCCAATCAGTTAAAATTGGACACTTAAATTGTCCAAATTGATCAAACATTAATTTTGATTAATTTTTTGTTTGAATGCACCTATTACAAGATTCGAATTAGTCAAATAAACTAGTCTAGTTAATCATGAAAACATTATATAGTAATCAAAGTCAAGGGCATTCCAAACCCTTTCTTAAGATGTTGAAAACTCGTTCGAGGTATATTATATATAATTATGAAATTTAAAGTTCCAAAAATATTATACAACACATAGATCTATAAAAAGTTTGAAATCTTAAAAATAAACGTGTTACAAGATGCAATATCTTTACCCTTTAAATCTTGTTTTTTATTTCCATATATCCCAATGTCGAGATTATTTCCATATATCCCAATTTCGAGATTATTAATGTTCGAGTTTTCCAATATTAGAACATTCTTTTACTGTGGTCTTTTAAGGTGTGCCAGTTTAATAGTATAGAGTTGATGCATTATATAGAAATTTTATTGTACATATGATAGACAAGTTTATATAAGCCATCCACCTTATACTATAAACGTTATGCCTCGCCTCAAAAATTATTTCGACGTTGGAAAATACTCAAATTGATCACCTCATCATCGAGATGTGTAGTTATTAAAGAAAAGAAAGTATTTCAAGGCAGTGCATCTCAAGATTTTTACTTGGTTTTATGTCTGCTGCATTTGTATCATTTTTTGAGCTTTTAAATTAGGGAAAAGTTTACATAAAGCCAAGGTTCTAAGCAATCAAATAAGATCACCTCAAAAATTTAATTAGAAGAGGTTGTTTTGATGCTCAAATAGCTTCATCTCGACATCTAGATGCATGGACATAGAAAAAAAAATGGATTTCAAGTTTTGGAAATAGTGCATCTTGTAATGTATTTTTGGACCGTCAATTTTCAATATTTTCAAGTTTTCATAGGTCACTTGATCTACACTATATTTGAAACTTTAAATTTTATAATTAAAGGTGAAAATATATTTTTAGGCTATCAAAAGGATTTTCAGTATTGAAGCCACATTTCTCGACACTATTTGAATGTGCGCTTTATTTTGATTGTTTAAAACCTCAGCTCTATACAAATTGTATCCTTTCGACACTATTTGAATGTGCGCTTTATTTTGATTGTTTAAAACCTCAGCTCTATACAAATTGTATCCTTTAAATTATGGGGTGGAATTAGATTGTCGGACGCATAGAAATAGTGCATCTTAAGATTTTCAAGTGGTTATATGTCTGCTCCATTTGTATCATTGTTTGAGCTTTTAAATTATGGGGTGGAATTAGATTGTCCGGCCATTGTAGGGGTTTCAAACACCAAAATTACACCTTCTAGCAAGATTTGAATGAAGGTTGATTACTTATATAAACCACACTCTTTTATATATGAAAAAGTTTAAGAAAATGTTGTTTTAATGTTGAAAAAACCTCTAATTGATCATCTTGACATCCAAATGTATGAATATGAAAGAAATAAAATAGTTTTAAGTCCCAAAAATAATGAATCTTGCAACGCATTATCTAAATCGTCCATTTTCAAGATTTTCATATGCATATAGATCTATTTGATTTTAACCACATTTTGGAGTTTAAAATTTTACAATTAGATATGAAAA